GCTCTTCTTCCTAAAGAGGTCAGCTGGGTGGAAGTGGAGAATAGAAATTAATAAAAAGATGCCGTGCTTCGAGCCCTTAACATGTATGTTGCCCACAGAAATTTCTCAGAAGCGGTATGGCATGTTTCTTTCTATCAAGCCAGGAACATTTTGCTGGAAGTATCCTCTGGTACTAAGTTTCTGGGACTTAACACAGAAACTCTTTACGAGTGTTTTTTGAAAGAGTAATATGGAAATAACGAATTTATAAGATAACTTTGAAAGTACTAACTTTACACAAGAGAGCTGGAAGGAAAAATTCACGTTGCTGTAAATATTTTAGAAGTATTTTGGGAGCACACTGGCATTTATAAAATAAAAAAGAGCAGCCCAGACTGGTTAGATTCTGCATCCATGTAGCTATTGCTTCAAATAAAGGGAAAAAGAAGCGTCTGACTGGGATCTCACAAGTTGTTAACAAATGGATACAGGGAAGAAGAAGCAATTCAAAGAAGTATTTACTACCTCTGTGGAATTCACTGCCTCAGGGATTAGCTCTGCGTGATTTCTTTCTTTATTCTTTGTAAAGATCATGGGAACCATTATAGGATCAAATTTTAGTGCCTATTTTAACCTTTGATGTTTATTGTGCCCACAAATTTTTAAGCTTGCTTCAAACATTTGAAAGTCATCTAGGGCTAAAAAGACAGCCCTGATACATGGAGGTGTGGAAATCTAACAGGGATGTAACATTTTTATTGCTTTCAAAATCCCTGTGAATTGGGTATCATTTCTATTTTCCAAAGAAGAAACTGAGTCTCAAAGGGGTGAAATGACTTGACTAGCCGGTGATTGGCAAAGCTAGCATTTGAACCCAGATCTCTGGTTCATATCTCTGAGATCAGCGACTGTTCCCCAACAGTTTGATCTTTGGAGCTGTTTTAAAAAGAGGTAGGAATACGCACATGGGGGCTGATTTGAGAAACTTCCATTTGTTGACTTCAGTATGTTAAACACTCCATTATTGCAATTAAAGTCTTATCATCTAGTTACTAGTTGTGTTTTTTTAGAGGGATCAGAGATGTATCTAGCTAGAAAAGGTCATCACCAGTGAGGTGACACTTCAGATGATTCTAGAAAGTGTTCATGCTTGAAATTCTACCTGCTTCTGGGATGTATGACACCTCAGTATGACAAGTGTTTAAGATTTCTTTTTCAAATGAAAAGACGTAACAATACCTAAGAGTGCTGGGAAATGGGGAAGAAAGCGGGTGTTAGAAAATGGACAGATGTCCCCTATCCCTCCTTTGAGTGTAAAGCTGGCCTTAATGAACTTTTAAAATTTCACAAAAGATTTTATCATTGAGTCATAGACAATTCAGATACTCTAAGACATGCCCATACTTCTAATTTAGGAGCAATAGTACCCTTAGTCTTACTTCCATGAAATCTGTAGATTTAATGTCCCAGACTCTGAGGTCAGATAGTTGACCACAAGTTCAAATACAAATTCCAACGAATTAATGAGAGGCACATTTCTGCAAAGGCCTGCAAGCACACAAAGGAGCTAATCCCAACCCTGACGTGAGCAGGCATGAAATGTAAGGTAGAAAATCAAGTCCCAAAATAACTGCCTATCTGGCAACTAAATGCAGTAGAAAGGGGGGAAAAGGGGAAGCACCATGTCTGATCCTGGTTGTACCACAAATTACAGCTTAATTTCTGGCAAAGTATTTAACTTCTCTGAACACATATCTACATGGATATAATGAAAGCCTTGCATCGCTCCCATTCCAGCCCTAACTGTGTGAGTTATCATTCTTGTGTATCTTAGTTTCCTCTGAAACTTAACAGAATGCACAAGGAGTGACATGGAGTCTCTTAGTGATCCTCTCTCTAAGTTGATGGGGATCTTTGGTTTAAGAACTTGGGAAAAATCTTTTAACATTTTCTCTTACTCCTTTTTAGGATTATCTGGGAGCTTGCATTGTCCTCACCGCCTCTATTGCATCCATTAGTGGGTCTTCCAATTCTGGATTGGTGGGCTTAGGTCTTCTGTATGCACTTACGGTAGGTATACATGAATTTCTCTCTCTTTTTGTTCAGTGTTGGAGGTACTTCCAGTAGTTATTATCAACTCTTACTCATGGCTGTTAGAGAAGTTTGAAATTCATAACAAAATACTATCCTGTAAATAATAGTAGATTTAGGTCCAATCCCAGCATTCTGTGACAGCATGGATAGCATGATATTGTGAACTAATTTTTAGAAACGTTTCGAACACTATGGTCAGAGCACCCCCACAGCTGTTTGGGAACCCTGTCCTGAGTGATCGACAATCTATTTGGGGGCATTAAAATAATGAATATGAATGAGATAAGTGCAAACAGAGCTACATGCAACTATCTGTTGTGCAGGGAAATCAGGACTTCATAAAACAGTGACATTTGAGGCCCCTTGAAGAAGAGCAGACACCTTCTTTGCCCACTTTGTGCGTGACATCCTCTCTGGTCTTTGGTATCCTGCAGCACTTATGAATTGTACCACATGATGTATATGAACGGTCCAAGTCGTTCTATCTCTAAATATCCAGTGATTGCAAAAATTGCTACTTCATTTGAAATATGTTAATTTTTTTGGCACCTGACACAGATAACCAATTATTTGAATTGGGTTGTGAGGAACTTAGCAGACCTGGAGGTCCAGATGGGAGCAGTGAAGAAAGTAAACAGTTTCTTGACGATGGAGTCTGAGAACTATGAAGGCACCATGGGTATTGTTCTCAATATTATTTTGTTTCACTTATATATTTATTTTATACAAATATCAGTTGTGTGTCAGATGCATTGTTACTTTTGTTTTTGTTTTCCACTTCAATATCCAGAGAATCCCCTCTCATCTTGACTTTGCTCTACTAGGTACACCTGAAATGATATGACTCTTTAGGACTGAAAAGTCTTGGATACGGCCAGAGTCCAAATAGATATTATTTAGTAATATTTAAAGAGAATTATAAAAATATTTAGACTTTATTACATTAATTACCAGTCTAAACTATGAACTATTTATTGTGTTCTCTTTCTCAAGACCTTATTAACTTAAATGTCAAGAAACTTGGATCTTAAAATACTGACTGAAATTCTCGGCTTTGCTAAAATAAAATTGGCAGGAAATTCAATACTGAGGACAGAATAATACTTCTTAAATGCAAATCTCATGCTTAAAATGCATTCGTTTGCCTAAATCCTTCAATAACTATCCAGGTCTTCAAGAGCAAAATCCAGATAACTTAGCTAAGACCACTAGACCCTTCATTAGTCAACTCTGACCCACCGATACAGTTTCATCTCTCATCTATCCATACACCTTTCACTCTGGTCGTACCAATGTGCTATGCGTTCTTTTTATCTTTATTCTTCTCTCTGTATATATTTGAAACAAATTTCCCCATCCCACGTTGTTTAAGATTTATCTCAGGCACCATCTCTTCTTGACAATTTCCTGGAACCCTTGGGTTAGCACCATCTGTGCTCCCAGAGTACCTTAGATTGGTCTCCACTATGTGGCTCTCCATGTAGTACCATACACGCTGACTTGTATTCTTCCCCCAGGACACAGCAAGCACCTAAGGCATGTCTTTCATCTCCATATTCCCGATGCCTTGCACAACATCTCTCACATTTTGAGCACTCAAATGTTTGATGACCTACTGACTGAACAAATGAATCAATTCATAGATGAACTATCTTGAATAGAATTGAGTGATGGAATGCTAAAGAGACTTAATGCTGTTTAATGCTCCAAAAACAAACCAAAAAAACTATTTTAAAAGTTCTTAATCTAAAGGCCTTTACTCTGAATGTAATTTTTATGTAAGAAAAAACCCCACAGAATTTTGTTCAGTATTACTTTAAATTTAGAAAAAAATGTATATGTTTGTATGTATAGTATGTAAGTATGTGTGTGTTTCTTTCTACTCCTCCCTCCTTCTCTCTCTCTTTTTCTGTCTTCCTCTATTCCACCCCTACCCCCCAGATCCTTCTCAAGTTCCTGAACATTGGCCACAGGAAGGGGAGATCAAGATTCATGATCTGTGTGTCAGATATGAAAATAATCTGAAACCTGTTCTTAAACACGTCAAGGCTTACATCAAACCTGGTCAAAAGGTATGGAGCTTACTGCCATTTGATTTATTTCATACAAAACCTCTGACGGAACCATTCTGTCACCACCTAAGCTATTGAGACATCCCAGCCAAGTATATTCTCACCGGGCTCACACAATATTCCCTACATTTTACAGGTCAGATTATCTACACGAACGAGAAAAGGGAGAGATAGGATCAGGATCAAATACACGTTCTCTAAGTTTATTGCCATTTATTAGTCTCCCATGAAGATCAGGAAAGTCAACAATACATGTGTTTTTCAAAATTTCTGCCTTCTGGCTCTTAACCATACCAGACATCCCCTTGAGAACTTTTGCATTTGTACTAACTCTAGTCCCCAAATGATTTATTTTCATTATTTTAAGAAGACCGAGTGTACAGAAAAAAATTGACTCATTATACTTTTTATTAAAAAATCATCACTTCTAAGATAAAATGGAATACTTATTAGACCAACAATATACAAAATGCAAAATTTAAGCCACAAAGGAAAAACAACACGACCACATAGAAACGAAAAGAGTTAGAACAGAATCATTGATGATTTAGTGAGGACTCCATCTTCTTATCTTAATAATGATAATTCATAAGGCAGATCTGAGAAGGGAATGATGATTTTAGTGTAACTATTTAAGTAGAATTGCCATTTCACTTTGGTATCTTCTCTAAGTTAAAAATACTTTTGCCCATTTTCTGTCTTTTGTCTGAGTCCTCTTCTCTGAGTGACAGTTGCTTTTTTAGGTGGGCATCTGTGGTCGCACTGGCAGTGGGAAGTCATCCTTATCTCTGGCTTTCTTCAGAATGGTTGATATATTTGATGGTGAGTTACTAACTAAATTTTTTCACTGGCCATGTGATGCTTTACCTTTAAAAAATGCAACATCAACTTACCTAATCCTGCAGAATTTAAAAGCAAATATTTATAAGGACTTTTTGTCCTACAGTCCACAGTTTGAGGCAGGCATCCCAGATAAACAGTCCAGAAGTAAATAAAGAACATAGAATTGGGGAAATAAAATTATTAGCCCTACATTCAACTGTGAAGATTGTTGTTAAAGAATTCTAATACTGATAAAATGAAAACAAGGCCATCAATTTTGAATAGCAATAGATGGAGGTGGCATTTCAAGAGGAAGGAAGAGAGAGGAAGATTGTCTTGCTTTCCACGGATGAAAAATTTAGCTTTCCATCAAAGGAAAATAATGTAAGGAGACAACTAATCTTCATTTTTAATTTTAGTACATGATTCCAACCATCATCGTCTTAATAATGTTGTTTAATAACGTTGAACATTTTGTGAGGAGGCAACCTTTGCTGTAAAGTGCCAAGCACATGTTGACAATATACAAAAATATTTATTCACTCACAAAACTATTAATGATATGATTCATGGAAATAATTTAGTCTTTGCTTTAGAAAAAATATGTCACATTATTTAGTCTATCAAGTGGCCTATAAATAGGCCAGCACATAAGCCATCTAGAATGAAAGGAGATGCAGCAATGTGCTGGACCATCCTTGACCAAAAAAGTGCTTACTATTATTATCTGGAATGATTATGATGACAATGATAGTACTTTACATTTTTATTGTACTTGAGAGTTTATATTATTTAATTTAATCTACACAACAGCTCTTGAGATAAAGAAGTCACTTTCTAAACAACAAAGTTGAACTGTGGTAATTACAGTCTCTTTGGGTTTAGATTCAGGAACAGAGTAAACATCTGCCACTGGGTTGTTAGCAGCTTACTCTTTCCATGGCTCATAATAATACACAGATACTTTAAGGATTTTCAGTGGGATTTGCACTGTAAGTCAATTACATGATCCCAAGACAATTGATGGACACTTTTCATTAAAAAACTGTGGTTATGACAACATATTAGATTAACCTGATGCTTATGAATCCAGAAACATCATTTCAGATCCCATGTGGGCTATCAGTGACTGATTCTCTTTTTTATAGCATTAGGCTATTAAGATTTTAATAGATAATATATTATTCCTGAAAGAAAGTTTAAGCTAATCACCTTGCCTACTCTTGAATCTAAATCCAGCTGGAAAAGGTACTCCAGCTGCCATTTGTCACCTGGCACACTCATCTCATAGGGCAATATTGTCTTTGCACAAAGTGATATGATAAAATAAATCTATCAAGTTGAGAAGAGGACATCAAGATTGCACAAGTCTCTATAAGTCTATGTACAGTGTGGAGAAATTAATTAAAGTTTGGTGTCTATATCATAGAATTTACTTTCTTATTTGTAATGCACTATACTGTTCAATCAACACAGGAAAAAGTAAGACAGATAAAAGTCCTTGTCTTCAAGGAGCTTATATTCTAGTTGGTGAAGAGAGACAGTAAAAAGATCAGGAAATAGTATGTAGAGTGTCCTATGAAGGAAAACAAAGCAGGGAACCAGGATAAAGGAATATTGGAAGGAAGAGGACCCACTAAAGGAAGAAAGTACTTTTGGTTCACATGAACCACATAAACTGAATAAAAACTGGAAATTGCTTTAGGAGAAAATAAATAAGAAAGAGAAAATATCATCAAAATGTATATAATTTTTAGAGAGGTATAATGATGCTTTTAATACTTAAATGGAAAGCTTCATCTTCTGAATGTCAACACTGAACTAGGAAAGTACTTTCAATTTTTACACAAATATTTTTCTTGTGATTTTACTGCATGCCTCTGATTTTTGTTTCTCTTTAACAGGAAAGATAGTCATTGATGGGATAGACATTTCGAAACTACCGCTGCACACGCTGCGTTCTAGGCTTTCCATCATTCTGCAGGATCCAATATTATTCAGTGGTTCTATTAGGTGGGTGAAGTATCCAGCAGAAACCCGTCTGCCTCAGGATTTACCCTTTGGCTCGGAGGAGAGTCTTGCTCAGAATCGCTTTTCAAGTAGCTGTGAAATGACATTATCACGAGTACAAGATCAAACATTTTGTCCAACAATTTGGATTGGGGACCCCTAGAGCTGCTGCGTTAACCTGTAGAAGCCAATCCTTTATGTCACTAGGAGCACTTCCCTCTCAGTTTGATTTTACAAAAGTCACTTTTGCCCCTGTGCTTGGGGGCAGTGATTCTTGGCAGACATTTATGAGGTGTTCCACCTAAAGCTAGCCTGCCTGTCTCTTGTGTGTCTGGCCTAGCCTCAGTGGAGACTGACTTTGGTTAATACCTTGATTCCCCCCACCCCTCAGGACTTATCTTTCAGCCAAAACTGCTTTTAAGATGCTGCTACAATCTTCTCCATGTCTGGTTTGTAGTTTACCACAGGGGGGAAAAAGAATGGAAGTATCTACTACCTGCTAGGTGCTTTAAATATATTGTTTCATTAAATCCTCAGAGCATTGCTCAAGTATATGTATTATTATCCCCATTTTACAGATGAGGATTTTGAACCTCAGAGAAGCTGTAACTTGCCCAGGTTCATACACTTAGTAAGTGGTGGAACTGTGATTCCAAATAAAGTTTGACGCCCCAGTCCACCATGGCGTCCTCCACCAGAGCATGTCTCCCCTTTCATCCATCCTTCCTTCCCTCTTGCTCCCCTCTTCCTTCCACTTAACTACAAAGAAGTATTTGCTACCTCCTTTTACTGATTACTCCTTGTCTTGAAGAGAAAATGTGTGGAAGATTGCTCAATATTTAATCAAAAGTTCTGGATGTACCAAGTTATTTAGCAATACCATAATAAATTTTCTCTCTGAATATATTTATTATGAATACTACTATTGTGCTCAGTGCAGCACAGCTCGTCTAAAACAGCGTTGTATGTTCCCATGTAGAATTTGTGTATTTCGCATCAGTTCTGTAGGAATATTTTCCTAGACACTATTAGAGTTGTAGTAAACATAACGTGGAAGTGGATGAATCCAAGTAATGAATTTTATCATATCTTATCATGCATATAAGCTTACTAATTATATCATCAAAAACCATTTTTCATGACATTAAGGTCGTTCATTCATTCATCAAGCATGAATTGAATGCCTGCTCTGTCCTAAGCACTATTGTAGATCCTGGCGATACAGCAGTAACCAAAACAGAGAGGACTTAGATTTTAAGAAAAGAAGAGGAATAAGCAAACATGCATAAAAATTCCTTTATTTTTATTTATTGACTAATTAGCTGATTATTTTCTCCTACAGGTTTAATTTAGATCCAGAGTGCAAATGCACAGATGACAGACTCTGGGAAGCTCTAGAAATTGCTCAGTTGAAGAATATGGTCAAATCTCTACCAGGAGGTCTAGGTATATTTTCTAAATCATACGTTTGTTTTTTACATATGCAATTAATTCTACATATCTCTCTCTTCATTTTATGCTGGAATCACATAACTCTGGTGTTAAATCCCCTTATATTTAAAATAATCTCCTAAAGTCATTAGGACACTTCAAAATCTAGTGATTTTGCGTGAGGTGCAATGGATGAATTGTACAACATTCTGTTGTCTGTGAGCACTCCAAAATATTCCAATTAATACATTTGTCTCTTTAGTCATTTCACCATTGACAGGTACAGTTCACTGTAATCAGAATATTTCCTTGTGGTTGTTCTGTCATGTGATTTACACGTTCACTTACCCTCAGTAAATGGAAAAGAGGACTGAGAGGCTGTTAGGTTCAAAGAATGCTTCGTGCCATTTAGGAGCAGGTGGTTTTTCCACATTGGCAGCCATTTTCTTTGCTGCCAGGAGAGTATATTCTTTTTATTTATATAACCTAATATTTTTGAAGACTATTTTCTATTACCTTTCTGTACTATCAGTTTTGATCACTTGTGTAGTGGATGAAACATGTACTCAAACAATCAGTGGTATAAATTCAGTCCTAGAGGTAGTACAATTTCTGGTAAATAACTGATGACAGAACAAAAGAACAACATGAATAGTGAAAGAACGGCGTGATTAATGAAACAACCGAGAGTTTGTGATACAGTCTTTAATTCATAAAAATGAACATCTCTGGTTTCGGACTTTTGCTTCCTTAAAATCTGAACTCATTTAAGAAAGCAATCAGAAAGATAATAGTTGGTTGATATTCTAATTTTAACACATAACGTGCAGTTGCCAAATTGACTGTGTTGTTTTGGCATCCAGTTGAAAAAAAAGTCAACCTACAAAATAAAATCATGTTTATTTGTTTAGTTTATTTGGGAAAGAAGACCTACTCAAAAATGATACCTTTTATGATTTTAATTAAGTCTCAAAGAGAAGGCATCTCACAAACAAAACTTGAGACAGCATGTCTTTAAGGACAGTTTTGTTGACCTTGCCAATGTCAGACTGTGGGAGTAATTCCAGAGGTCTGGATGAACTTTCCCGTAATAATTTTTGATGTCTCAGAGCCCAGCAAGTGCACTTGAGAAATTGATAATGTTTATAGACTTTTCTCCCTTGGTATTTAGAGACATCTCCCCCATAAATAGTTGGAAAGACAGGCAATTACATCATTATAGTCCTCTTCACTAACATGAGAGTTGCATGTACCTGTTTTGAATGGTGGGGGCATTGTGTTTGGGGTTATGGTACAGTGTAAGCAACAGGAGATTGGATTAACACTATGTAATTGAACGTTGTTTATGCTCGTTGTCTTCATAGAGATTACTTCAACTGCTTGACGAAGTTCTAATTCAGGCCAACTCTAGTGAAGAACATTCATCATCTCAAGCATCCTCCTTATTAAAATTTGGAGAAAAAATGCGTAGCCCCCAAGCATGAAAAGTAGTAAGAATTTGACGCAGTGAGAATATAACCAATAGAAATTTCCCCTCATGATGCTACAAAAAAGTATTTGAATGCTAATAAAAGAGATATTTTGGAAACAGAATTCATCTGAAACTCACAATAATAGTTTATGAAATGTAGATGGAAACAAAAAAAGGAAGTGATAATGAGGAAACATTCGTTTATCCATAGAACAGTGTTTTGTTCAGCTACTAAGTCAGATACCATGGTAAGTGCTGGGGATACAGTGATGAACAAAGACAAACCCAGTCCTTACCCACTTGGAGCTTATAGTCCAGTGGGATGGGTAAGAGAATGGGTATTGAATTTGAAAATATTCTGTTTCCTGTCAAGCTCTACTGCCAATCAGCTATGTGATCTTGGGCAAACCACTTAATCTATCTTGGCCTTAGATAATTATACCGAATAATCTCCTTGGATAATTATATTATGTAATTAAATAATCTCCAAGGTCTTCCAGTCTTCAAAATGTTTAACAGTATTTTATATCCTACTATAAGGAGGTAATTTACCATCTATTGCCAAAAATAGGATGGCCCAGGATTATCTCCATTTTCCCAAAGTAAAATTCCTCTTCACCTTTCACATAGGAAATCCTTGCACCAGTACAAAGTGATATCCAGCTTCCTGTTATAGGGCATAACCTGTTTTTCACTACTTTGCCCAAGGAAAATGGTAGCAGCGTTTCTTTAATGAAATCCTTGCTTCTTCCTCTGATTTAGATGCCATTGTCACTGAAGGTGGGGAGAACTTCAGCGTTGGACAGAGACAGCTGTTTTGCCTTGCTAGGGCCTTTGTCCGCAAGAGCAGCATTCTCATCATGGATGAAGCGACAGCTTCCATCGACATGGCCACAGTGAGTGCATTATCTAAGCCTTTTAAATTGATGAGTTGGAGAAATGTACATGAAAATTACAATTTATTTTTCCTGAGTGTGTTCTGAATCCTCAGTACCATTGAGTGTCATCCCATCCATCTCATTGATCAACTGGTGATAGCATGTTAAGAATTACAATACAGGAGACGCAACATCTGCTTTAAAGGAGTTCCTATTGTCCATAAACATAAAATAAACTTGTCATCACTTTTTGATAAATTCTCAAAACAGTGAAATTCCAGGACTCAGTTGATGGGAGTACTGTATTGTAGTCAGGTATTCGATATTATGCCATGGAACTGCTAAAATGAAGGACGCAAATCTCTATTTACTAGAATCTATTGAGAATCAAAACCAATCATTACTTTATAAATCAATTTGAAGAAGAAGGATTCACTAGAATTAGTAATTCCTAGCATTAATAATGGCCTTCTCAATGTGTTCATGGTAACAAGCCAGAAACTTGGCCTTTTGAAAGAAATTATTTAAAAGTATCAAATATGTCCAAGAAGGGTCTCTCTAGAAGGGTGTGATCAAGTGAAGAAAATGTCACATTAAACCACAAACTGTATGAGCTAGCAATTAATTTTGTTCTTATAAAAGTTAACTTGATATTAAAAGTTTGGCATCAGAAAGGACAGAAATAAAAAACAGCCCCAACCTTGATGTGATTTGCTTGCTGTACACTTTATACTGGGTAAAACTACCCAAAAAAGTGAGATAGCTTCAAGATTAAGAGCCAATTGTATATGGAGATGCTAATTTGACATCATTTCTTCCTATTAAGTAAGACTAATCAAAGGGCCTATACAAAGTTATATATCCTTTCAAAGTTAGCATAGTTTAAAACAATAAGATAGTTCCTAATCAAGCCATTTCACTAAGTAAGCATAACTACATCAAAATTAGTATTAATTACTAAGGTTTTACAATATTGGGGATTATTATAAGGATAATACTGCCTCAATAGAGATGAGAGAGAGAATATGAGAATGATTTGATTGGCAAATAAGCAACTTGATTGGAAGGAAAAACTCCTTCACATTAGGCCTTCGGTAATCAAGCTTTCCTCTAGGAAAGAGGTAGAATCTTCATCCAGAACGTCTTTTAAAAAATAATGATGATAATTTGTGGTGGGAATAAAAATGGTTCCTGCCTGGAATGTTCATTGTGGCGTCAAAATCCAAATTGGGGGCATTTATTTCATTTTTTCCCTTTCTGACCCAAAGGTTAACACCATTTTGGGATTTTATTAGTTTTGAATACATATTGTTTATGGTTTAACTCAAGTGGGCATTTCTATGCCCGTTTGATTTCATTTTCCTGTTTCAGTTCGCTAGCAGTAAATCGATCGGTCATTCTTGCTTGATCACTGAGTTTTATCTGCGTTTTGAAGACACTCACAGAACGCAGCATGAGCAGCTGAGGACTGCTCCCTCTTAGCCCTTCTGCAGCAGACTTAGGCGTGCGAGTTCTCAGAAGGAATTGGGCATGGTGGAGCATTGTTCTTGGGGGCAAATATTGTGGCGAGAGAAAGTAGTCTAGAGAAAACTCAGACTGACTGTATTTGTTTTTTGGCAGGAAAACATTTTGCAGAAAGTGGTAATGACAGCTTTTGCAGACCGCACCGTGGTTACAATAGCTGTAAGTATGGGAGGCGGAATTGATTTACTCCTCTTTGGTTTTTGTTCCAAGATTCAATAGTTTTTTTGAGCAATTAAAATATATTTATGTTGAATTACATACTCTCTGCTAATGTTTCTGTATCTGTGCAAAAAAACAAAACAAAACTCCAAAACAAAATCTTAACTATACTTTGAAAGCCTTTACTTTGTTTCTTTCCAAACTTCTCTACCTACCTCGCCTGGGTTACAATGATAGGAGTCCTAGCTCTAAGGATTCCATCAGGTCATGGGCTGTGCTTTTTCACCAGACACAGATGTAGTTTATATGGGATAATTCTAGTTTCAATAATCTAATGGTCTCTTGAGCAGTTTTGGAAGCAAAATTCTTACATTTGACTGTCAATTCTACTGGTATTTATACTTAATTTCTATGTTTTATTCACTTAACTGTTTTAAAAAAGGAGGCAATGAGATACCTCCAGCCGAGGCAGATACTTTCTCGGACTTTAGATCACACCAGTCAAATTGAAGAATTGCTTAAATCTTTGTAGTTCACGGGACAGCTTCCTTAGAAGAGGCCCTGGTTTTCTCTCTTCTCTCTGCTAATGGATGGATTCTTGTTCACATTTAGGTCTAACGTTGAACAAAAACTACTGTTTAAGTAAATCACCTGGACATTGTTCCTCTTGCTGATTCTCTTCTCTTCTTTCCCTTTTTCTTTTCTCTCCAGCACCGAGTCTCTTCTATTTTGGATGCAGGCCTTGTTTTAGTCCTTTCTGAGGGTATTTTAGTGGAGTGTGATACTGTTCCAAACTTGCTCGCCCACAAGAATGGCCTCTTTTCCACTTTGGTGATGACCAACAAGTAACCGTCATGAGCTACTCTGCCAGTACCCTATCCTCTGGTAGTTATCTTAGTGGCGTCCCCTTAGTAAGGCAAGGCTGAGGCAGGGATTAAAGGGGAGGGATGGGGTGAACTAACTAGAGGGTATTATCACACGAATCAGCTCCACCAGGTGCTTCAGTCCTGTTCAGTACCAAATGGGGCATGTGCATGTATTTGCAAATGTATACACGCAAGAGATACATTTACAAAAACCTGAGGACCAGATTGGCCTCTATGCTAAAGACCAATTTCACTACTCCTCGGGGATATTTTGTAAGTGTCCCTAAAAATACCAGACATGTTCCTTACCTGCCCTGAAGATCGCATTGTTTAAATAATGACTTAGGTTTAACTGTTGACTAATGGGATTTGTGCACGGACTGCTTGCTTATGCTTCCAATTTTGTGAATGATGTATGGGAGAAAGAGCACCCTTTGAAGTGCAGCTTTTTCAGGGTGGCAGGAAATGACTCCCCATCAGGATCCACCTTCTGTACCCTGGGCCTAAGTAAAGAAAAGGCCTCTTTCTCTCACTTTCCCAGTGAAGTCTGTGGTTCCTTCTGCCTTGGAGGAGAGTCACCTGATTAACTCATTCACACTGAAGTGTGAATGATTGAATGGGTGAGAGAACTGGCTAACTTGAAAAACAGTACTCTAATATTTTCAAGAACTTTCTCAGTAGAGAAGGTAGGGAGATATTTTGAGGGAGAAAGAACTTTCCGTTGCCCCTAAACAGACAGCTCAAGGAGGAAAAAGTAGACCCTTGCCTACTCAAAAGGCTAGTTTTCTCAGTTCTGCATGAAGCATGGAATTGTTGAGTGGTCCCATTTAGTCTACAGCTGGAAGATTACTGTAGCATACTTTGTGTTTTTAACCAAAATATTATGTTCTCTTCTCTGGTTTCTGTTCGCCTATATTCACTGAATACTTTTCTTAAACCCCTGCATCTTTCCCCCATTCTTCATTTCGAGAGCACTAATGTGGAGCTGGCCACTAGGAAACCTCGAGTTCTCCCCACTGGACCTACAGAAAGCTGTGGGGGGGATGAATGACTGTGGGACCAGCTCCTCTGAACAGGCTCATAGGAAAGAGAGCGCCACCAGCTTGCAGTAGACCCCTTGTAGAATGATCCTAGTTCTGTTAAGAGTAACTCTTTTTTCCTTTACTGCTAAAAGTTGTTCTGATAATTTTGTTAACTGCCACTGAAAATTGTGGAATAACTTAAAGAGAGAATTTTCTCTGGCTTCTAAAAAGAAGCCGTCATGTACCAAAATAGTTCATGGCGTTTATTTATAAAAGCGATTTATTCTTGATTAGATTAATTTCTCTGGAGCATTTTGGAAATTTAAGCAATGCTGTTACAATTGACACTACACTTTCTCAAGCAAAAAATTATTTGGATTAAAGGAATGAATACCAGATATATTTATTTCTATTGAGCAAGATTTTTCAATGTTTTTATTTTTATCTTTTTAAAATAAACATTATTTTAGTATAACAAGACATTGTTTATAATACTCTATTTATGGATGTAGAGGCCAAATTCTTTTTTTTTTTTTTGAGGAAGATTAGCCATGAGCTGACATCTGCCCCAATCCTCATCTTTTTGCTAAGGAAGATGGGCCCTGAGCTAACATCCGTGCCCATCTTCCTCTATTTTCTATGTGGGACGCCTGCCACAGCATGGCTTACCGAGCAGTGCCATGTCTGCACCCGGGATCCAAACCAGTGAACCCTGGGCTGCTGATGCAGAGCATGTGAACTTAATTGCCACACCACCAGGCCAGCCCCCAAATTCTTTTTTTTAACATCTATCATATGGTTATTTAAGAACTAGTTTTTTTGTAGGGAAAATGCACAGCAGATATTAAACCGTTCATTAAGTTGAAGTTTATTTTTTGCTAACTCAATGGGTGTGCAAGTGGCTCTGGTCCTTTCTCCAAGATAAATAAACATTATCCTTCAAATTTTGATAATTCCTAAATATATATCATTGGTTACCAATATTCAGTGAATGATAGATTTGTCTACGGATGTTGAAAATAGCGGCGCATGTTCTAGGCTGGCATCTTTATCATACTCCATAGACGTGTTTCTTTTCTCCTCTAGTTGTGAGTCTCAACTATGACTCTTTGCTTTTCTGAGAGCATGATCAGTGAGACTAACCCATCTACATGGCCCAGGGCAGAAGATAAGCCTTTGCTTATCTTTAGGCTTCAGGTTGGACCTTGGGTTGTAGGAAAAGGCACTTTGGAAGTCTATCAGCTAAACAGATGGCATTTCTAGGTTTGACTCTCCCATCTGCTTGCCCATGTTTTGGCCTGCATGGTCCTGGTCCAGTATGGTAGCCCCTAGCCGCATGTGGCTATTGAGCACTTGAAATATGGGTAGTCCAAATTAAGAGGTGTTGTAAGTGTGAAATACACACTGGATGTCAAAAACTTAGTACTTATAGAAGTATGTAAAAGACCTCATGAACAATTTTTATAGTGTTTACATATTGAAATAATATTTTGGATATTTTGGGTTAAAATATATTATTAAAATGAATTTTGCTTGTTTACTCATGCTTTTAATATGTGGCTTTAAAAAGTTTAAAGTTACATATCTCACATTTGTGGTTCACATTATATTTCTATTGGAGGGCGGGTATTTTAGCAAGAGTAGTGAGAAGGCCCACTGCACAAACGTTTCCCTTGTAAATCTTAAAAATAAAAAAATGGTGGTAGCTAAAATTTATTATTTGCTCATATATATCAGACCAGCTGCTGAATTTTTTTACATGGATTCTCTCATTTGGTCCTCACCACCATTCTCCGAGGCAGGTACTATTACCGTTATTTTACAGAGGTGAAACTTGAGGCAAACGAAAGTTAAGTTTGTTGCTCAAGATTGCATAAGTAACAGGTGATGAAACCAAAATATAAGCCCGGTCTAACTTCAGAGTCTACGCTCTTAACATAGCGCTCATGATCACAGATGCTCCCTATGAATGGTTCAATGGCAGGGTGGAAACATCTCACACTTTGAAGTTAATAAACCTGGTTTTGATGCTGGTTCTTCCACTTATATCTATGTGATCTCCTTATTTTTGCTTTGTCTGTATGAACCCCAGTGGTTTCCCTTACAAAGTGGAGAGAGATAACACCTACATTTGAGGAATGTTCTGATGATTCACAAGTATGTGTGTGGAGCACTTGATGTATAGTATATGCTCAGTAACTGGTAGCTTTTATTATTAATTACTACCGCAAAAGCTTCTCTCCAAAGGGTACTATGCAGAAAGAGAGAACAAGTGAGCGGCAGGGATCGCTAAAGCCTAAGAGATGGCATGGCTAAAGTCCTGAATAATCCATTCTAATACTGCCTTCCAGAATGGACATCCCCCATTTTGCCTCCCCAGAATCGAACCACCTTCCAGGGTTCTTCAGATTGTGTGTTAGCCCACAGAATTAGTTGAGACTCTACGCAAGAGATAATTTTAGTCTAGACTAAACTATAACCCAACTGGTTCACGATGGCTCTTCTTATCATTGAATTATTTGACAAACATTTATTAGCCTACTTATACTTCCATGAAAATGATGAAGCTACTATATTAGCTGCACTCAATTTAATACAGCCCATATAAGACCCAGCCATACTGGCCAGTATTTAAAAGTATGTAAATAAATGATACTCTAAATAAGAAAGAAAAAGAAACGCTGTGTTTCTTGTATCTTCTGGAACCCCAAGACAAAGAGATGTCCCTGAATAACCAGTGAAATATGCATATTCCATTGCTTTGCCTTGTACCCTGAAGTTTGTAACAAATATACGTATTCTTTTCACTCGCAGCATCGGGTTCACACTATTCTGACGGCAGACCTAGTCATTGTGATGAAGCGAGGGAATATTTTAGAATATGACACTCCAGAAAGCCTCTTGGCCCGGGAAGATGGAGTATTTGCATCTTTTGTTCGTGCAGACATGTGAAGAGATTTCTTAAAACAACACGTGTATTTAAAATAATGTAGTCATAACCTACTTAACGGATCATTGGCTTGACCTTCGTCAAGTGGCATCTTAAACTTTTACACATTTTCTTAAAGCTTATTTGTTACGTTGTGAAACTTCCTAATTAGTAACAATGTCACTTTACCAATGAATATTGTATTTCCTGTTCTGACATTTCCTCTTCCTAGTTTTGTTTTCTAAGATATTACTGCTTACTATGTTCATTAATGATGTTTTTCTAATGAGTAAGCCACTTTAGAATAGCAGATTGCGTTAAAACATCTAAGCGACTTTAAGTGGTAAATCAACAGCTATGTTTTCTCATAATTTTAAGTCTGGCAAATATCTTCTCAGGCATAGAAGTTACATTGAGTATTCAGTATTATTATATTCTTATTTGTAAGGATATATTATCCTTTTTGTTGCTGTCTCCAGATGTTATTTGAAGAGAATAAAAGAAGGACAGGTTTTAGAATCAGTTCCAAAATGAAACAGTCAAATTCATTATCTACTGTATGAGAATATTTTCTGTATTCATTAACATTAGTAATACTGATGTTTCCTTTAGCAGTCTCTGTTTTTCATCTAAATTGTATCCTGTCACTAAGAAGTTATGACATTTATAGTAGTTCTGTAAAGTCAAAGTCTTAACTAGAAAGATCATGAAAAGTGTTTGGATATTTGAAAAATTATACTCAAGTTTCCGTTTTTGCCTATCTAGTAAGGAAAGAGGTCTTAAGATATCAAACATAATGTGCCTTTCCCAGAGTAATTCAAAGTCATTTCAAAGAGTGATTAGGTTCAGTCCTTCAGTGGCAGGCCAGCTAAAGCTTTCTATGGTTTAATTCATCATTAGATGTGGTTATGATCTTGAGCTCTAAAATGCCACATTATTTAAGATGCAGGAGCATAGGCAAGTGGCCTTATTTGCACAGGAGATATATGTATCTATCTCAAGTATGTGTTTCTAGTGGAAGAGTGTACTTCTTTTAGACATTTTTGCCCAATGGTGTCACACATGTATCCATTTGCTCTTGTTCTGATTTTAATGTGCATGGAAAAAGTGTATCAAAAATGTTATTCTAATTGTAATGTGCATCTTAACAGTGTATCAAAAATCCATGGTATACTAATGTTATGTTTTGCTTAAATGTAAAATAATAAATTTAAAAATACCAAAGGTTACCTTCACTGTCATGCTATCAGCCAAAGCTTTCTACTGTGATTCTGTACCCATCTCGTATAAATCTCATTGATTTTCTTATGAGGATTCACATGCATAATAAGGTTTTGAAGAATTATGATTGATGGAAAAAGAGAATTTATGCTCCCTCCCTATAGTTCTTGTGTTCAGTTTATTGTATTGTGTGTTCACTCTTGGAAAATCTGTAATACTTGTTTATCCAGAAAATATGACTGGGCCTTTACGTGAATATAGAGCTCTTATGGTTTAACAAAAATAAGTTCTACAAGGATTGACAAAAATGTTCTATGTCATTTAGCTTAAATTGTCACCCTGTGTTGTATATAGAAAACTTCATTGGGGGAAAAAAATCCTCTTATTGCTTCCTGAAAGCTAAACAGAACAGAATCAGTAACTACTAACTCGATCTAGAAAATATTTTCTAAAAATTCCACCAGTCTGCTCAAAGTATTGCTAGCATGCACATGTTTTGTAGGGCTGAATTTACATGACACTTGTTACTGAATTACCTCATTCTCACGGAAATGGGGATTTACCCATAGAAAATAGTCCCTTACAATATCTGTAAATTATACTGCTACATAGACAACATCAGCAGAAGCATATTTAATTACACTAAAGTGAGACTCATGTTTACCATTCTTGCACCCAAGAGATCACTGGTTCCCTCATAACTTTTCGCCACTTAAGTTGAGTCAGTGTTTAATTGTTTACAAAACTAAATTGACTGAATAAAGTCAGGGATGATTTTTTAAATTGTTTAATCATTTATTATGTTATATGTGTTATCTATTGAATACAAAAATGATTTATTTTGAATAATTTTTTACTAAAGAGGTACATAGCTATAAAAGACCAGCTTAACCAAATCAAATTTATATTTACAAATTTTACATTTAATTAACCAAATCACTTTTATAAATTTTGATTCCTTAATATTTGTTAAAAGCAATAAATGTATAAACTTTATATTAAAATAACAAAGTTACTGATATCATTAAAAGAGAAAAAATATCTCTCTTAAATGATTACATATCCTCTACTTTTATACTTCTACTGTTGATCCATTTAAAAGTCAACTTAGCTCTAGATTAGATACCAGAAGACCATTCTAAGAAAAGGATGCTTGAGATCTGGGACCATGTCTTGTTTGTCTGGCCCACAGTAGGCCCTAATAAGTATAGTTGATTGATCCGTTGACAAGTTTCACCACTAGCCATGTGCCTATAACTATGGGTTATTCTCTTCAGTTTGTGTTGTGTTTATTCTACTGTGAAAATATATTGGCTTGGCATTGTATAATAAATTACTCTTTTTGTCTGCTCAGTTAAAGAGAGTGGTTATTCTTTTACTTATGACACAACTGGGTATCAACCGGGACTGATCAATAGATATAAATCAACAGCAGTTGCGAAGACAATAGCTGACTCTGCTTTGACAATTTTGTTTCATATTTGCCGCTGTCATGCACTTCATCAGTTTTATATATGGGCTTCAGGGAAGTTGCCATTAAGTAGAACAGCTATATCAATAAATTTTATTACATCTCTAATTAAATAGCTGGATGTCTGAAGTTTTTCCCGAGTTTATTGACCAGTTCTTATGGTTGTTTTCCAATATATGTTTTATCACCTATTTTGTACTACATTCTTTAGAGTCCTGTGATTTATAGTACTATGATAATTCCCTTCTTGCCTTATTATCCAAAGTTAAATTCAATCTTCTAATCTTAACCTTTTAGCATCAGAAACAGTAGCCAAGAGGATGTATCCTGTAATTTAAGTTTAATTTTTTCCTTGGGTAACTACACATCATTTGCAACAGCTTCTCTCAAGCCTCAGTAAGATTCACCTAGCTCAGCCTCTCCAGTGGAAGGGCTTATATCTGTATTTGTAGCAAGTGCCTCCAGATAAGATTCATAATCAGCTAAATTTGGGAATCACTGGTCTACCTCAGTCACCATCTCAGTTTCTTTTTATTATGCATAAGATGGAGCCATAAAATCCTGAAGGTGATTTTCACATGCTTCCTATCTTTGCTGACATTACCTTACCCTTGATTGCTAAAACAAGCCTCTCAGTGTCATTGAATGAACTGCCTTAATCCCATCATGAAGGAAACATAGTTAAATGAACTGAATCTTCACTGAGAAGATACAAACAGGGACTCTGAATGCTATTTTCTTTTGTGTTTAATCAGCAATATGTGATCTAAGGGGAATACGTATCACAAAGATGCAAAGCTTTTTGTTCCACCTCTGAATTAGCTGTTGAATGATTTGCACGTTATTCTGCTGCATTTGAATTCGTGTTTCCAAATGTTCATAGTACATAAATGTGACCAGTTTGGGCAGGTTTTGCTGTTGGTGTTTCACAATGTGGAAAGAAGGTAAATTATCTGTGATGATTGTTCCCTTTTCCACCTTCATATTTTTTCTGCAGGTGTTGTCATTATTGCTGACACATGAAGGTTAGTATCTTCATTCTACATATCTACGACATAGGATTTAAATGATTTCTTTTTCTGTGGTCAGTAGCAAATTTTCCTTAGCCATTCATACTATGATCACGAATGCCCTATTTCTAAACTGACAAAGATCCAGGGAACCACACCTGGAGAAATAAGTTAATTGGCCCTAAGAAGAAAGCCTTCTGTAATCTCAGTGTCACCAACCATCACAGACCATCTCCAAGTATACACTACATATTAATGACAAAGAGCTTTGTTTTTAGACCATTATTTTTATCACTTCATCTGCCCACTTCATAAAACAAGTAACTTGTTCATATACAGCAACAGTGCAACTCTGGTTATTGCTGCTTCATTCCCATTTTTCTCTTAGAGAGGGTTACAGTGTGTGCTATTTATATACATTATCAGTTATTGTTAAGTGAAAGATTATTGACCTTTAAAATATCAGGGGCAAGTGGATTTAGGCCAGAGCTTCCATATCTAGGAATTTGCTCTTTGACTCATAGTAGTTGGGGCTTTGTTCCAACACTATTTAAGTAAAGAGCAATTTTTAAAATTTTTAATTTCCTTTTTTCAGACACCCAAAATGTTCATCAATCCTTTTGAATGTAGACAGAAGCAGAATCCTCAACTGTCTGAATCTATTAAAGTGTATGGCTAACTCTCTCTCACAGGTTGCAGCCTGTCCTCCAACCTCCCAGTACATGTGTGTGTCCCCCCACATACACACACGCATGTGCACATACACTCACATTTTATCTTAACTTGCTGCCTTAAAGAAGAGTAGGGTTGCTATGAATCTTTACATGACATATTAACACAATGTATAAATAATTCAAATACCAGTGCCTAGAATGGATGGCATAAAGAGAAGTGCACTGGGTTACATTGAGCCAGCTCCTTAGTTCAACAAAAGGATAACGGTTGTCGTGAAAGGTCGTGAACTAGGCCTCTATGAAAGGTGGTTATCTCCCCACTAAGGGATGCTGCATGAAAATAAACTTTGGTTATTTCATCTTGATTGATAATTTGTTGACTATCTGCTGTGTGTTCACCTTTGAGTAACAAAGTGTGATTCAAGGAGGTTGAGTAGTACAAAGCTTTGCAGTATATTAGAAATAGTATAAAATCTTCTGAAATAACTATCTTGATTGTATTTATTTTACAGGCAAGGAAACTGAGGTTAGGACTTAAATGAATGGCCCCCAAATCATTGATTTAAAGTCTATCTGACTCCACAGATGGCGCCTTAAACACCACCAGGGGATAGGAATGAAGAGATGTGGGTGGTATTGAAAGGATACATCTGTATTGGAATCTGGAAAAAGCAGAATTATCGGGTCTCAGGAAAACTGAGGATGGGGTCAGGTCTAGGAACCTTTTTAGGGACAGTCCACTCTCTCAATTCTCTGTCTCTGTCTCAACTTCTCAGCTCCCTTCTGCCCTTTGGTGCACTCTATCCTTCTGTCCATTTCCTTCTCATCTTGTATGCGGCCTTTATGAACCATGCGGATCTCAGATGAAACCTTCTTCACTTGGGCCCACAACTATCACCACTTCTCAGACTGTCTACTGTAGAGTATCAAGCAAGGAATCTCCTTCGTCCACCTTATCTTTTTATTCTTATATGTGACTGGACAGCTTTGCATTACTTCACTTTGGGCAAGGGATCGAATTCTGATCTAAAAAACTGTGGCCAGATAGTTATGCCAATTGAAAGTAATTTTTTATGCTGAGGAAAACTTAACACAGAGTGGAGAGTGACATGAAAGCAAGAATACAAACCCAAATCACAACCAGTAGTTCCAGAAAAAGAGTGATGAGATTGGGCTGGCTACTGATTATTTTCCTTTGAGGAAAAAAAAAAATTGGAGGAAGGGAGAACCATTTGTAAGTCACATAAGCACTAAAGTGTGCTGGTTGACTAAACCCCTTGGACATTTCTCCCATGTTCCCACACCCTACCTTTGCTCCAGAGAGAGGGAAAGTCCAAAGAAAGATGTAATTTTCTTTCAAACAAGGAAAAAAAAAAAACAAAATCTCCTGCCATAAGTAGTCACCTCCAAATACTGACGTTTTAAGCCCAAGTTTTATTTCCCTGTGGGCATGACTGCATGACACACAGCCTGTGAGACACTTTCTCACAACCACCCATTCAAAACAAGCAGTAACACCCACCTAGAATTACACCACTCCACCCATTTTAGGATCCCCAACACGTACGACTATTATAAGCATACTTTAGATAGAAGCACCAGTTTCTCCAAGTGACTTGTCACTCTCAGACACTTCCAAGTGCCAAGTCCTTGGCCCAGGCCCTGAATTTGCTGTGTCCTTGACAAACTGGGAAAGAGAAGGTAGCAAAAGGTAGTGATTCGGGGTGACAAGATTTCACCTGAAAATAGGAGTTTCTCTTCTTTGTTCCCACTTGACTGAACTTCTAGCATATATGAAATGCAGTAAAATATTATATTGGAAACACAAGGCATCTAGGCGTCTGGCCAAAAATGTAGGGAAAAAATTAGCAAGACTAATATTTCATGGGAAATTCTTGGCTTAAATAATATTTTAATAAAGCTTAGCTCCATGTGCCAATAAAGCACAGAGATGACAAAATGATTTATGATTTAAATATCAAACAATCTCTGTAATGTCTAGTACCATCTTGTAGCAAACCACATGAGAGAAGCAAAATCACAGGGGAACAGAAGAGAGGAGCAATGTGAAATCGATTGAGATATCAGTAGAATGAATGGTGCATAAACCGTCTCATTAAAATTTTGAAGAAATGATAATAATAGCTAACAAATATTGAGCAGGTGTGATATAAGCCTTATAAGTATAATTCCACTTAATCTTGACAAAAATTCTATGAGATAAACACTATTATTCCCATTTTGTGATTGAGGTTCAGAGAGGATAACTTGCTCAATGTTCAGTGGAACTGAGATGCAAACAGGCCACCTGACTTCAAGACCCACACTTGTACCCAAGTGCTACACTAGACTAACAAATTAGCCAATCGATTAACTTCTCTTGCAAATAAATGATTTACACGATATGTGATATTTAAGAAAAAATAATTATGAGTATCTCTGTAGAATGTACTGAAAAGGGAACTGGACCAGGAATTAAACATGAGTTCTACTCTTGGCCCTATCACATATTGGATGTATGGTCTTGGATTTATTATTTGAAGTCTGAGTTTCCACTTCCTCATTTGCAAAAAGGAGAACAAAAAGGCATGATAACATTTACTCTGCTGGCCTCACTGAGTTTTTGTGAATCTCAGATTAAATGATGGTGAAAGGATTTTATTATTTGAAAAGCACACTCTGACATGCAATATTAGTACTAGGAACCCAATACGTATACCACTTCTTAATAGTATGATGTGAGATTTTCTTAAAGTCACAAAATAAGCTTTTTCTCTCTCTTAAAAAAAATCTGGCATGATTCCAAGTTTACAATGGTGAGATGATATATTCAGGCTGAGATATTATATAAAATGGCTCCGGAACATTGATATCCCTGGGGTTCTGGAAAGGGCAAATGCAAAATCAGTCTGTTGGGGTACCACCTGGATCTTCTGGGAAGAAAAAAATAAAATTAACTCACATTTAAATTAAAACCACAAGAGAAAATGAAGCACCGTGGTGAGAATCAAGAGGCATAACAAATTGGAATATTAGCACAAGAATTAGAAATAATAAAACAATCTAAAGAGATTTTTAAATAGTGTGTTTGCCAATAAACATATGAAAATGTGCTCAACATCATTCTTCATCAGGAATGCAAATCAAAGATGCAAATAAAAACAGCTACCTACCCACTAAAATGACTAAGTCTACAAAGACTGA